GTGACGACAGCTTTAGGTCGAGTGGTATTCAGCATATAAAGGGTTCAAACGCCGAATCCATCAACCGAGCTCCAGGGTTTGCAGACAACTGAGCTCAGTTCACATCCTTATTCACAGAACCAATGACTGCGGCTTTCAGAAGACTAGAGAGAAGATCGTTCAGTTGTAACACCCTTCTGGTGCCTAGCCTCATGCCACGAGAGAAGATCGTTCAGTTGTAACACCCTTCTGGTGCCTAGCTCTAATGCCACCCGAAGGAAGCACGAGGGCTGGGACACTGCCAGGTTGCCCAAGCCTAGACCTGAGAAGTCGAGACAGCACTCGGGTTCGAACCACGGACCTTCCGGTCAGTAAATTCGCGCTCTGATCACTTGAGCCACCTCGCCTAGAGAGAAGATAGCCATCAAAGCTCGGTTTTTGTGAGGTTGGTCATTTTTGTTATCATATACCACAGTTATGACAACTTTGTGCCCAAAAGGAACTTGTGCAACTTCTGAGGTTGAGCTTGCCCACGAACAATTCTGACCTACTGAACCGGGCACCTCCTTCCTTTATTCCCTCCCCTTCCTCATCATCATCGACAGCATGACATCAGCGCTCAACACCGATGCTTCGCTGCTGTAAAAAAAAAGATGCCAAACGGAGTCATCAGTCCTAAGTGCTGGGCCTACAAGGAGAGAGTTATTAATGGGGTGGGGAGAGGGGGAAGAAAAAGTGTGTGAAAGAGAAAGAAGGGAGGCGTCAGCAGTAGCTTGTTTTCGCTTACCCGCCCTGCTGTATGCAGCAATTAAGGCGACCCGGCTGATGGCACCACGCGACGGCCGATGTGGCATGAGAGTATTGTTAGTCGTGAATGTCATGGTTGTACGAGGGCTGGGATACTACCAGGGCGCCCACACCTAGACAGGAGGACGATTAGGGTCCTAAACCAAAGCCTTTGGCTCAAAAGCCTAACCACAAGGCAATGGTCTCTGGCGAGAAATGCAAGTGCATTACTATTTCTACGGAACAATTCGCCACATGTTCCAATCCCCAACCTGGAGAGCCAGGAGACTGTGCTTGACCAACCTGGTATGAGAGACTCTGTGNAGGGACACTCCCCAGTTTAGCTCAATGGATCGCTGAGGTGCGCAAATCGTCACACCACGGTAAGGTCTAGTCTCTTCATGACTGGACTAACTTATTTGCAGAATTTCAGTCAACTGAGGCACGTGTCACAACTAGATTTGTGACGTACCAGTTACAGAAAACAAACTTCGTTTGCATACTTTCGTTCATCCAATCAGTTCCATGAATGTCTCAAGTCGGTCGAGACAGTATGGATGGACAGACTCCGGGTTATCGTCTTGCTACGGCCTGACCTCAAACAGAAAGGCGTAGCAAGGTGTTGTGCCAAGATAGTACACACACAAACACTAACCTTCGTGGCTGAATCACTCTTAAACGCTTCCAAAAACCGTGGTTTCCAATCGCAAGGTCACAAAAGGAAGTGGCAGAGGAAAGTGCATGCGCTCGATTTGACGAGGAACGCATGGTTAGTGTGCTATGGTTTATTGCCTTGGCGCAGTATCATTCACGGGTATCACCAACGAATGGATTTCAGGGGTGCGTTCGATTTCATTTGGAACCCAGATTGTTTGACCGAGCATTCTAGGTGATTCTTTGCACTACAACGCTCTGAAAGAGCAAAACGGTCTGGTTGTGCTACCGTTACTACCGGTGATATTAGGGCTCATTTGACGCGGAATCAACACAACAGATCAGGGCTGTTCCAACGAGACAAGGTTTACACATGGGCAACCAATTGGCTACCGGAACCCGCGAAACAGCACCGGATCAACGATGATCAATACTTTCAGGGGTGATTGCAAACCTGGTGCTCTAAAGTTTACGCAGTCTTAACCACGCACAATCGTAGCAGGTATATCATCACCTGCCAGCCGTGATTTGTTTTGCTGAGTGGCACACACACACGCCGACGTCGATTTAACTTGGATGCGCGCAAATCTTCGTTGTTTTATCGATCAGTCGGATCAGCTGATTAGTCATCGGTGAGTCGACCGCTTCCCACCGATCAGAGGAAAAGACACGCACGCACGCACGCACGGTCACGTTACGCTAACACTGACAATAACTGCGGCCACATTCACAGTGAGTAACTCGGTGAGAGCGCTGCCCGAGAAGAGTCCTGCTCTAAATACAACACGACGGCAGTCATTAGGAGGAAACCAAAAGATACACAGAGAAAGCACCAAGACTTCCCATTGAGACCGATGATCGTAACAACACAGTTGTCACCTAGCTAGTAGATCAGAATGAAAAAAAACATGAAAAAACATGGGGAGATATGATCGAGTAAAACGTGAGGTCCCTGGTGGATCCCCGAGGGAACGCCTAGGAAAACGTTTGCACGCCTTGTCGATTCTTGTCTTTGTGGGAAAATACAGCCCATATAAGCGAGCCAAACCACGATGATAACGCAGTTTTTGAACGACATCATGTGGAAAATAGACTTTAACGTGCCCGGATTTGACTCCCAAAGGAAGTGTTTGAAACCAAGCACATTTTGAAAGATCGATAACGCCCAAAGCAATCAAACGGCACCGGTTCCGGATTGCCATTTCATCAACGTGGTCCATCTGTCCATCTCGAGTCAAGTTGGGGCCGAGGCAATCATATCTGAGGGTAGAGTTGTCTGACTCGTGTGCCAATCTGATCCGAAATCGTCAACTAGCCAATACGGCAGTCATTAGGAGGAAACCAAAAGATACACAGAGAAAGCACCAAGACTTCCCATTGAGACCGATGATCGTAACAACACAGTTGTCACCTAGCTAGTAGATCAGAATGAAAAAAAACATGAAAAAACATGGGGAGATATGACCGAGTAAAACGTGAGGTCCCTGGTGGATCCCCGAGGGAACGCCTTGTCGGTTCTTGTCTTTGTGGGAAAATACAGCCCATATAAGCGAGCCAAACCACAATGATAACGCAGTTTTTGAACGACATCATGTGGAAAATAGACTTTAACGTGCCCGGATTTGACTCCCAAAGGAAGTGTTTGAAACCAAGCACATTTTGAAAGATCGATAACGCCCAAAGCAATCAAACGGCACCGGTTCCGGATTGCCATTTCATCAACGTGGTCCATCTGTCCATCTCGAGTCAAGTTGGGGCCGAGGCAATCATATCTGAGGGTAGAGTTGTCTGACTCGTGTGCCAATCTGATCCGAAATCGTCAGACTAGCCAATGACAGTTATCGGCTTGCGGGAACCGAGTTAGCAGCTCCTACTTGATTACCCTTATTCCAAAGCGATTGCATAACAACAAAAGATAAACGAATCCGCTTCAGCTTCGGTTTCCATTATAGAGCTAAGTAATTGTCACATGGTTGCCTAGCAACGGGCCTTGATTAATGTGAACAGGCTGTTTTCGACAAATACACTCGTTTGCAAATCAATTCGGTCTTCACGGAAGACTCAACTGAATCCATCGTTTATGCTATGCTTCAACTGAATGTGCTGCACAAAGGCCGCCTTATGTTCCAGTTTGCACGACATTCGAGATATCGCAGTATATTTTCATACAGGAAACTACTCACAATGTTGCTGAAAACTCTTCGACAGACTTATCAACCCTGACTCTACTCGTTGGCAACATTCGTGTGGCACAACTGGCTTCTCTGTTGTGATAGTCCTGATTGATTGTTCAGATGTCTTCAGGTGTTCGACAATCGTTGTCTAAGAGCCATAGCTCGTGTCGGCGTATTCGTAACGAGGCAGTGAGAAAGCGCTCTTTCGGTTGTGCAACGGGTACTTCCATTGAAGAATGTGTCCAGCACCAGAAACTGCGTTGGTTGGGACATGTGTTGCGTATGCCGAACCATCGTTTGCCGAAGAGAGTGCTGTTTTCCATGCCCAACTCACAGTAGCGGAAGCAGAGAGGTGGCCAACTCCTCAACTCGTAGAGGGGTATGAAGGAGATCATGAAACGCTTGGGTGCTGTCGGTGCTACTCGCCTTCCAGGATGGGGACCGCGTGATCCTCACTGTGCCTGGTTGGAGACACTACAAGATATGGCTACCAACCGATGTCAGTGGCGTTCTTGTTGTCAGTTTCTATCCAGATTGCCTGAGTGAATGTCTGGAGGTGTAGGCACCTCGGAATGATTGTGGTAAGCTAGAACTAAGTCCATCCCTGTCCACCTTTACTCTTTTCTCTACAATAAGGCTTTCAAATAAATCATGGTTGTACGGCAGTGAGGCATGGATGTTGAACTCTGGTGTCATGCTCTTGATGCTAATGATGATAATGATGAAGATCGTTGACCAATCACCACCGGATCGAAAGCAGAGAGGTTGTAGGAGCCATTCGGGATGTGCATCAATGTGTTGTTGGACCACTGGAGTTGGATTTTAATGGGCCAATGTATGCCTGTATGGTGTGGATCTTCGAAGCACCCACTGTCCAATATCTGGCTCCACGCCACTCGAATCAATATGACAACTTCCAAAATTTTTTACATAATCACACGAATGCACCAAGACTTTCTACATCAGACAAACTAGATCTACCTTCGCCTATCCGAGGATGAGTAAAATCACGGACAGAATGCACCAGGTTTACCAACGAAATAGCCTAACGACCTCCACAAACGGCGGGAGTGGTTCATCTGGCAGTGACCAGAAAACAGTCACACCGAACATATTAACAAGTGGAACTGACCGGGAAGCTACAGACGCAGTGAAATAGACCAATGGTCAGAACGAGATTTTGAACTCGCTTTCCTGATCAGTGAAGTATGGTGATGCGAGCTAGTGAACAAGTTCGACCGGCGAAAAGACCAACTGTCATTCGATCAACGGCCGGTTAACGCAACCGAGCTACAGATGAAAGGAAGATGGCCTTCGCTGCGGAGTTATTAATTGGATTTATGAAAAAACATACTACTCGCATGCTTCATCAGTAGTATCAACCGTTACACACCAACAACCACTCACCAGGTTCCACGGAACAATGCTGCGGAGATCGACCAGGGCTTGTTTGTGACAGAGAAGCGTGTCTCCAATCAGATTCGGCGGTCATATCATTGGACCAGTTCTGTACTGAAGCTCGTCTGTCCCGAGCACGCTGGTTTTGGAACCATACCTGCACAACCCGCAGTGGGACGCCCAATTCGTTGGCCAGTTTTTCACGTGCCTACAAAAATAGGACGCAAGATGTTGCGGTTAAAATGGATCTTTTAAAATAAAAAGTGCATATGAGCGAATACGTGGTGGTAAAACTGACGGCTGGTTGTGAGGTTCAGTTCGGAAAGCTTTCAATCGTCGAGTGTAGACAAAGTCGTCCCGGCTGCAACAGTATTCTGCACCGGTGAGGTGAGACGCGCACTGCCGGTGATTCCCAACGAGGATAAAACAGCTGGGCAGTGCTTCTCGGCATACAGTGACTCCATCCAAACGCTTCCACCAAGACACCTCTCCATTGAATCGCATCACAATATCAACAAAGTACAAACGGCTCCCACAACCCCATTCGAACTGTCAAGCGCACCTGTGTCGCTATGTGAAGGCACGTGTATAAATCGACTGTCCCTAGAATGTTTTGCCCGCAATCTTATCATATCGGGGACACAGTATGCACTTGTCAAATGGTTACATCAGAATGATCCTGCAATACCAAGGTTCACGTGTCATCATCAATGTTGACATTGATGTCTCACTACCATACAGCCACAAGGTTTATCTAATTATATTTCAACCGTTAACGATGAAAAGGGTGGGAGAGGGAGCGGACTTGGAGGTGGCCTGTCGCAAGCATTCTGAGGTGCCTACACCTTCTAGCGCACAGTCAGGCAATCTGGAAAAGACTGACAACACGAACGCCATTAACACCGATCAGCAACCATTTCTTGCAGTGTCTCCAGCCAAGCGCAAGGGGGGGAGGTCATGAGGACCCCACCTTGGAATGCGTACTGCACCCAAAACGCCCAAACTCTTCGTACCATTCACACCATTCTGCCAAGTCATATATTGCCCGATCCACCGTAGTTGATGGTGCTTGGATGTTTTCCACGATTGAGGTACTTGTTGCACAACCGAATAACCGATTTCTAATTGTCTCGTTACGAATTCGTTGAGGCCAACAGACACTAGCAACACATCTGAGGCACTGGTGATCAAAAAACCTGAAGACGCCTCAAATCATCTGTCAGAAGAAGTCATGTTTTGTGACCATATGACAATACAGCCCTTACTGTCGTTCAGCTGTGGCATCCTTTCGGTGCCTAACTGCCATGCTACCCGAAGGTTGCACGAGGGCTGGGATACTGTCAGGTTGCCCAAGCCTAGACAGGGGAAATCGAGAGGCAGAAGTCGGGTTCGAACCATGGCTTCCGTCCGGTCAGTCAATTCGCGCTCTAACCACTTGGGCCGTCTCGCCCCGCCCTTACTGTAGCCTGGTACAAGCGACCCTTAAGAGAATGTGTGCGTAACATCCCATGACAACTGGTAGTAATGAATGGACAAAAGAATGCTGACTGATATGAGAAAGCTAATGAGAAACACCAGAAATCTGTGGCTCATGAAATACCTAGTTTGTCAGTTTAGTGTTGTCATACTAGTGGTGTTACACGCAAACAGGACAAGTACGTTGAAAAAATGCAGCGAAGAAAATTCGGGCGAAATCGACCCGAAACGACGGACGGAGCGGAACACAATCAAAGCCGTTCTCCCTGCGTTATGAGGCGACGATCGAATAAAATTGGTCAGCTGTAACACCCTCGCGGTGTCTAGATGCCAAGCCACCTGAAAGAAGCACGAGGGCTGAGATACTGCCAGATTATCCAAGCCTAGACAAGCTTAGGAGCAATCGCGACACTGGGGTTGGGTTCGAATCAAGGCTGAATAGCTCGGTTATCAACAACGCGCCGAGATCGCCAATAAAATCAACGAATCAATCTGACTGCTCATAATTTGTGAGCCAGTCAAACTTAGGTAGCGCTCAACCAGTTTAATTCAATGACTACTCTCCAGTTCCGTGAGTTCTGTATTCAATAGTACTCCTGACTGGTACAAACCAGGTCCTAGGTTGAGCAACCTCAAATGTGACTTGCTACTCTGACTACATTCCAGCACTTTGCTGCCGTCTCGTTCGTTAAAACTGTTATTCAGCTTGAACAATTAGTGTTCATTCAGGCATTAACACCTTCAGGTTTTTCGGTATTGATTCACGGTTCCCGCCAAGTCTCACAGCCCGTACTGTAGCTTGATACACACGTCCCTTCAGATTCAGGGATAAACTATCCTGACACCATAGGTGTCTCATGTGATCGACAAATAATCGAATGGAAGAAATCTGTTCAAACTAATGACGTATTAGATTATCTGCAGGAAGTACTGAGATGTTGACAAGAAGAAACGATTGTTCCAACATCGTGGTGACGTTAAAATCAATACCGGTCGGTAGAGGGCAGTTCGACCTCGCTTTCACAAACGAAAATTGGGCTCAACTTCGGGAACGCAACGGTTCGTAGACTGCATGACAAGTAAGGTTGGTGAGAAACCAAAAACCAGCGTGCCAGAAGTGAACTGACACTGCGGGGATTCGAAACTATCCGTCAGCCCACCCAAAAACGTATAGGCCAGTATCGCTTCGTCGACTAAGCACAGAAGCAGTTGACCGGATGGCGAGCCAAATTGAAGAACAGAGTTCACGATAACGGGAATTCAGCTAGTTTGATTAGGCATCATTTACGAAGGGCGAAGCCCAACAGGGAATGGATTGGGACTGCTCTCATTCCATAATAAACCAGGGACATCCGAAATCATTCAAAGGATTCTAATCACGGTTGACATAACAGTAGCATTGCAGGAAGGAATTTGCCAAACATCCCAGCGTTAACAGAACAGAAAGCGTGTACAGGACGGTTCTAGATCGGTTGACCTGCCGCGTGACAGGGTGCGGTCATTAGTGGAGATGCGTCATCGGAAAAGCAGTTCAAACCTGAAGTGAATAGATAGCTTAAGCTGGCCAAAGGTTTACGCCATCTCCCCCTCCCCCACCCCATAACCAAATTGTCGTAACATCTACGAAATCAGTCCGTGTGTTTTCTTCGGGCGCAATGACACCTACTTAACGGAATGGTGCCACACAGTTGAATGCTTTCCTTTATTCGGGCGCATTAGCTTGATTGACAACGCTAGCCATCGAATGTGAGAATGCCAATAGCCTTCAGAATGACCGGTCTAGTTCCCTCAGACATTTGCAGTTTAGAGTAAATCATGTGTTGCACCTCGTGTCCAGCATAGGGATCATTTACATTGTAAGATCGCGTAGGTAGGTGTAGCCACCCTCCTCAAATCCATTACCGGGCGATTATCTTGCGGTTTTCGCAAACTCTTAGCTTTCTGCATTTCACTCATGGAATTGTTAGTTGTGCATGTCATGGATGTACGAGGGCCGCTAGGGCGCCCACACCTAGACAGGAGACGATTAGGGTCCTCAACCAAAGCCTTTGGCTCAAAAGCCTAACCGCAAGGCAGCGGTGTTTGGCGGGGAGATGCAAATGCATGACCATTTCTACGGAACAAGTCGCCACATGTTCCAACCACCAACCTGGAGGGCCAGGAGACTGTGTTCGTCAGACCTCTACTCATGGACCAACCTGGTATGAGAGACTCTGTGAGTGTCGTGCGGACACTCCCCAGTATAGCTTAATGGGTCTCCAAAGTACACAAACCGCCACATCACGGTAAGAACTAGTCTCTTCACTACATTGTTCAGATTCGGCTAGGAGTGAGTAAAACGCGATTGGCCTTGATGCTTAATGCACCAGCGGCAAATACATGAGCGGTTTGA